AGCCGAAACTCACAGGCAAGGCATGGTGGAGACGCCTGCCACAACAGATACCAGTTTGACTACAAGATATGCTGGTGCGCAGGCAAGTGCTGCAATTTGGCAATTTTGCCAAGCGTCTCCCGTCTCCGCACAGATTCCCAAAACCACGCTTGAGTTCGTCCGGCTGCAGGTCTCCCAGCAGCGAGTGGGTTTGTAATGAACCCTTGGACGCCTTCTGATTATAAGATCATTGCAGGTCGCGGCAGTCACGGAAATTCGGTGATGACTGTACTTCAAGATGGCGATGCCATCTTGTGAAACGAGCCCAGCTATCAGAGTCTGAGGTGGCATTTCAGTCTTCGGACCTGATCACGGTAGCTAGTCCCCGGATCGCAAGGCTCTCCCCGTCCCCTTAGGCCAGAACGGCTTCTTGCGTTCCTGGCTGCGGCTCTTCTCCCTGCCGCGGCTGCGGCTGCGTTTGCCACGGCTCCTTCCGTGTCTCTACATCTTAGGTTCGAGTGCCTCTTCATGGCCGTTGCCTGAGGTTCCTGCTAAAACAGGATAAACATGGATAAGCGCACAGGGGATCATAATGCGGGCCACTACGAGCCGAGAGCCCTAGAGTAGAGTTCTGCCTGCAGCCGTTGTACACCATACGTACTTGAGGTGAGGCATGATACGATGAATTGCTGAATTAGGTGTGGGTTTGTTGAAGTGTCACTAGGAGTGATCTCCATGGCACCTCACACGGCCTGCCTTGAGTGAGCCTCGAAACGCAGTACAACTATGACAAAAATCGTTTTTTACCTTCATACATGTTCGTTCACTGCACATCCTTGTTTGTGCGTTCTGAGGTCGGCAGGCTTCCGTCGCATGTCGCTACTTCCGCAGGCATCTAGATGTTTACTTTTACCGCGACATCTTGAGATAGCACCGGCCCGTCTCATGGAAATTCTCAGCAACACAGTGTTGGATGCGTTGTCCCAGCCAGACGCAACATTGCAATGTAACAGCCTAAGTCTCAGCCGACGTCGCAACAGGCATAGACATACACGGCCCAGGAACCGAAAGTTGCTTGGAAATAAACCGTTTTTTGAGGAGAGTGCTGTACAGACTCCTTGCACTGGATCGGCACTTGTTGTCCCTATTGAGCCTCTAAACCCTGAAATCCGGACTGCGAATCCTGACGCGAGCAAATCGGAACCTCTGAGCATTGTGGGTTCCCCACTTCGTGGCGTGGTTCTGGGGATTCTTTCGAAGAGTGTCCGCAATGTTGAAATTCCAAATCCACAAACCAAGCCAGATCGCAACAAAGCCTCTCGGATCGAATGCTCGCTACGACGTAGCCTGTTTCATGTCAAGTCTGAAAAAATTTCCAAAGCCTGAACCCTACACAGCTTGGCCACACGAAACCCTTCCGACTCCGGCTGCGCCGTCGTCGGCTACGGCTTCGATGCCGGTCGCGGCTGCGGCTGCGGTTCCGATCCCGATTGTCCTATACTGCAAACACGGCTTATTGCTAGAGCTGCCAGGGTCATTTACCACACAGTCTAAGCATGTAAGAAGCTCCTCTCCGCTTCAGAGATTCCTAATTCACGGCAAGCTGTCGCGGTGTCTCCAGATCCCGTCCTTGTCTTTGCCCTTGCCACCACCTTTTCCTTAGAACGGCTTACAATTTGTCTTCCATCCCTATGACGAACGTAGTTTATGATTTCCCTAGAAACGGAATTGCCCTTCTGCCTGATGCCCGTCACACCGCTTCGGCGTGCACACTCTCTTCAGGGTTGTTATATAACCTGTTTGAGTTGCTTTTTCTGCCTTTTTCTCAGCTTGCGCTGATGCTAACAGTGTCTGCTTGGACCACAATGCGACCTAGCAGCCTTCGCCCTTTTCGCCGCCCTTTTGCGGCCGATCGGGCGGATCTGGCAAGTTCTCGTTGTCAATCAGCGGCCTCGCGATCTTGCCTTGCAACGGCAGGCACAAAGGCCATAGCTAGAGCACCGAGATGAGAAGACGCAACTCTCAAAGAACTGACTGAGCGCGGGAAATACCATAATAAAGACAAGGGTTCAACAACCCACATCAGCCAACAGGTTCTCGTGCAGTCAACCGCTCCGGTTTCCATGACGCATGACATCGCGACAGCATGTACTTTGAAGGTCTTCAACAGCCTCACCGTTCACTGTCCCACCTGAAACTTCATGCTAGCAGCCTCTCTTCCGTGCATGTGCACCTTAACTTCAGGCAAGCTGCAAATCATCGACGACGGATTTGCGCAGTTGTCCAGGTGCTTCTTGATCTTCACCAGGACCTCGTCCTTGTCCTCCGCCCGCTTCTCGATGATTTCACGCAGTTTCGACTTTGCATCATCGTCCAGGCGATACTTCTCCATCACCTTCTCGGCGTCCGACAAGTCCGGCAGCTCTTCCACCTCGCCTTCCAACAGCTTCCCAACCTGGGTTTCGGCCCATCTGAAACTCAACATGCAAAGAACAGAGCGGCCACGCTCCTTTATGATGCTAGCTCCATAGGCGGTCCAAGGAACAAGTAGGGTGGCCATGGCATTGGCACGCTTGCAGTACTTCAGATGCTGCTCGATGGTGTTTAGATCCTTGTGCATGCGGTCAATCTCGTTCTCCTTCTTTCGCCGATGAGTCAGCTCCTTGGACATGAGAGTAAGCCGGCGCATGGACCGACAAGGATTCTCATTCGATGCTGTTTGACATGCCGGCAGCGCGGCGTGCTACCGACCCTCAGGTATTCCTATGCAAGAATACGTGCCATAGTCCAGTGCTCATGTTGGCCTGCAGATGGCTTGTTTTCGATCTGTTGCATATGATGGCAGGGCCACACATATCGGCTCCTCGGAGCTGTTCGGCACAGAGCTCTCTTAGGGGGTCTGGGATTTTTGCAAAGTTCACGCGTAGTTTGGCGTGCGGGACTCCTCGGCCACGTCCCGGCGATGGGACGTTTCCGAAATCGTGCTTCTGCCCGCAACGAGATGTACAATCGCCCCGCTTGCCCCACAACCGCTTGTGCTTCACAGTGCAGTGGGTGTTCTGGGATAGCAATCTGCAATGGTTCAGCCTTCATCCTTCACCATTTGTTTGGGGTGTGCCCTGGAAAATATTGAAAATGTTCCTCCAAGTCGTTATATGCCACGTCGCGGTAAGCCTGGAGGCA